AAGATTGAGTGTGATGTAAATTTTGAAAAAATAAGTAGTATTTATAGAGAAATAATGTAGGGTTTTTATTCAAAAAATTCAATGGAAAACAAAAAATTGGTTGGGAGTAATTACTCTGCATGCATGCTGCGTACGTAGACTGGTGCTGCATGCACAGTTTTGCAGAGTCCGCCTACTCAATGGGCGGAACCCTTTTAATTTTCTGACACACCGCATATACAATGGGCGGACATGTTTCTTTTTGTCTGCCATCCGCGCTTTGAATGGGCGGAAGCGTGCAATTATGCCTGCCAAGGACGCAGGAGCAATGGGCGGAGCCTGCATGAACATCAATGCGTCCGCCTACTCATTGGGCGGAACCCTTTAACAATTTAATGACACCGCTTCTGCATTGGGCGGATGAGTTATTACAACATAAATTCAATTCTACCTGCGTTTATTTATTACACCATATCTACTAAACACAAAATCTATTTCATTTAAATACACTTCTACCTCCTACTTTTTTTCATCAAGCCAACCCATCTAAAAACCAAATTTCTCCTACAATTCAGATTTTATTCACTAACAAATCAACATGTCTCAAATACCTCAATACATAGTAGATGCTCATTACAATGGAGAGATCCTTATCTCCGATGAAATGGGCATTATATTCGAAAATACCGATATATGCCGGTTCAAATTAAGTAGAAATGCGAAATTTGAATATTTGAGGGAGAGGATACAAACAAGGATGCAATCTGGAGTTGTCTCACAAATTATATATCGAAATGCTGTTAATTTCGGTGTTAACCAGGTGAAATATGTTCCACTGAAAATCCGAGATGATGATGATGTGGAAATGATGTTTTACAACCATGAATTATCTGGGTTACATGCGATAGATTTATACATAAAATTTCAAACTTCTCAACAATCTCAAATCTCACAAGTGGCCAATCCCAATGATGCTGAGCCCGTGTCCATAATTCCCGAGGAAGTCGTTGTCGAAGATGACGAAGAAGAGGAGACTGAGTCACAAGCTGATGATTTGTTCACTACTTTATTTGAAGACGGTGGACGTGACGAGGCGGATGCAATCAACAAAACTGAACAACATATTTCACTTGAGAATGTCTATTGTCCACCCGCCCACATGACAACTCTGGATACAGCTGGAGACGAATCATCCTTTCAATGGCCCAAAAATCCTCGTCTTCCGCTGGAGGATGACATAGCTGTTGGGAACCAGTTCAAAAACAAATCTGACTGTGTCTTTGTGATATCCAGGTACCATATGAAACATGTCGTTGATTTCAGGGTTACGTGTTCTGACACAAAGAGATATAAAATTTGTTGTAAGCGAAGTGGTTGCAACTTTCGTCTAGTGGCATCCTATAGGAAAAGGAGCGACCTATGGGAGATAGGAATCATGGAGCCCCCACATAATTGTTCAACGACCATCTTTACTCAGGATCATCGACAACTAAGCTCTCGACTGATGAGTGAACGATTAATGCCTCTTGTTGAAAAGGATCCCTCCATCAAGGTGAGTGTATGTATTAACGAAATTGTTTCTTTTTTCAACTACACTCCATCTTACAAGAAGGCATGGATTGCTAGAAACAAAGCAATCGAACAAGTGTTTGGTAATTGGGAAAAGTCATACAATGAACTTCCAAATTACTTGTTGGCCCTTAAGAAGTTTGTTCCAGGCACTGTAGTAGAAATGCAAACACTACCGGTATATACAGATGACGGGACTATTATTGCTGGGAAACAAATCTTCCACCGACTATTTTGGGCTTTCCAACCATGCATACGTGGCTTTGCATATTGCAAGCCTTTACTACAGATTGATGGTACCTGGTTATATGGAAGGTACAAAGGTACACTACTAATGGCTGTAGCATAAGACGGAAACAACAATATTTTCCCAGTTGCCTTTGTCTTAGTGGAAGGTGAGACGGCGGATGGTTGGGGTTTCTTTCTAAAAAACTTGAGAATGCATGTAGCTCCTCAACCTGGCTTGTGTTTGATTTCTGACCGACATGCATCTATCGAAAGCGCTTATAATAATCCTGAAAATGGTTGGAATAACACTACATCTGTCCATGTGTATTGTATCAGGCATATTGCACAAAATTTTATGAAGGATATCAAGGACCGTATCCTCCGGAAAAAAATAATCAACATGGGTAAGTACTTTTTATGCAAACATTACATGCTCGTTAATAGTATACCATTATATTAACCAATGTTTTTTTTAACATGTAGGGTATGCGCTGAACCAACCAACATTTAAATATTATCGTAATGAAATTGGGATGGCTAATGGTGATGCTTTGAGGTGGATAGACAGAATTCCCGTTGAAAAATGGACGAAGGCATTTGACGAGGGTCGTCGTTGGGGGCACATGACAACAAACCTTGTCGAGTCACTAAATTCCGTATTTAAAGGCACTCGTAATCTCCCCATCACATCGTTAGTAAGTGCAACATACTATAGGATGGGAACACTCTTTGCTGAAAGGGGTGCAAAGTGGAGTGCAGTTTTGAATTCTGGACAAACATTTACAGAACGGTGCGTGAAGGTGATGAAAGAAGAGACGTCTAAATCCGCCACACATCAAGTAAGCATTTTTGACTATAATAATAACACTTTCAGTGTGAAGGAGACAATTAACCACGGTGAGGGGAAGCCATTGGGGCGTTACAAGGTCAACCTAATGGAAGGATGGTGTGACTGCGGAAAGTTTCAAGCATACCGTGTTCCTTGTTCACATGTTATCGCTGCATGTTCTGTGGTACGCCAAGACGCATTTCTTCTGTTGTCTGACGTTTACAAGGTTGCGAACTTATTTGGGGTTTACAACACGAGCTTTCCAGTTCTACCATACGATGAGTATTGGCCCACTTATGAGGGAGATCAAATTTGCCATAATCCAGTTATGCGGAGGAACAAGAAAGGTCGTCCCGTGAGCACCCGTATTACAACAGAAATGGACGCATATGATAAGTTGGAGAGAAAATGCACATTGTGTCGTCTTCCAGGTCACAACCGAACGCGATGCCCCAATGTAGGAACTAGTAATAATTAGTTATTCATTTTGTTATCAATCTGCAAAGTTGTATGTATAATGACACCGAGTTATTATGTTTCATTTCACTAATACTTCTGCATTTAATATAAATAACAATTCAAAAAAACAACACATAAATTAAAATACTGAGACGAATAATAGAACTTAGCAACAACATTAAACGTAAACAACATCAACATGTTCAAACAAGGACATAACCATTTCTAGGATATTACAATCAGCAACACAATGTCTTTTTGCTGAAGCATCATCATAAGAACACATGCGTCGTTGTGAACAAGTCTCCAAGAACGAGTGGGTCCATTTAAGCCAGACACCGTAACTAACCTCTCTATTTTTCGAATCTTTTCACCTTGGGCAATTTCTTCCCCTAACCATCCCTCCAAGTGCCTATGCAGCTGCTCAAATGTCTGCGTGTTCAACAATTTGATCTTCATCGGAGGCTTTAATGGAGAAAAAATAAGTTCTGCGTCTCTTTTCATATATGGAAACATTGAAAACTCCCCGGATGTTGAAGACATTTTTAAGATACAACTAAAGAAAAATAATTTAAGTGTAGCTTGGATCATTCAACATCAACGATATTTATAGGTCACAACAAAAATTTTAAATTAATAAAATAATAAAACCCTCCGCCCATTAACGTGGCGGAGCCGTAAATAAATAATAAAATTACGAAAGCTTCCGCCCATCGCACTGGCGGAACCGTACTGAAATAATAAAATAATAAAATGAATAAAACCCTCCGTCCATTGCAGGGGCGGAGCCGCACTGCAATAATAAAATAACATGACCCTTTCTATGATTAATATTTTAACATTGATTTCTTACTTAATAATAATTTTAATTTATTTTTAAAATTACATTAAAATAAATTTTATTTGTATAGTAATATATTAATATTTTAATAATTTCATTAAAATGACTTAAATTTGAATTTTTCAATTTCTTTTTATACAAATATATTGATTTCTTACTTAATAATAATTTTAATTTATTTTTAAAATTACAATAAAATAATTTTTATTTGTATATTAATATTTTAATATTTTAATAATTTCATTAAAATGACTTAAATTTGAATTTTTCAATTTCATTTTATACAAATATATTGATTTCTTACTTAATAATAATTTTAATTTATTTTTAAAATTACATTAAAATAAATTTTATTTGTATATTAATATTTTAATATTTTAATAATTTCATTAAAATGACTTAAATTTGAATATTTCAATTTCATTTTATACAAATATATTAATTTCTTATTTAATAATAATTTAAATTTATTTTTAAAATTACATTAAAATAATTTTTTTTGTATATTAAAATTTTAATATTTTTATAATTTTATTAAAATGACTTAAAATTGAATATATCAAATTCATTTTATAAAAATATGTTGTTTTTTTATTTAACAGCAATTTTAATATATTTTTAAAATTATTTTTAAAAAAAAAACGTTGATCACACAGCTCCGCCAATGCAATAGACGGAAACTGTGTATTTTTAAGACCATCCGCCCATCCATTGGACGGAGCCTCCTAATTCCAAAATTTTGTTTTTTGAAAAGATGGTATATTGGGAATAATGGTTGAAAGGTGTGGTATATTGGGATATAGTTGTTAAAAAGAGGGTATGTTGATAAAAAATTCCATAAAACACTATCCACAAATATCCAAACCTTGTACGTTTTTTTCAAGTAACCTGAGAATACACACAGGATACCCACATTCCACTGTACAAAATTTCACAAAGTCACTTTTCAATACACCTTCTAACACACGTGAGAAATATCACTCTCACGAAACATTTTTTACATAGGAAAACCTTTATTTTCCATGTATTTTACATACTCCCTAAACCTCCTAATCAACAACACCAAAATCTTAAACCAAACCCGAAACCGATACTTTAAACAATTACAGAGTTGAGCCAAATAAGCAAAGTTGGTTGAGGAGTTTTACCAAGCACCTCGCAAGCATAGAAAGCCATAAGCAATGACAACTCCATAAAATCAACATCAACAAGGAAATACAACAATAAAACACAAAAAGGAAGTGAAGATGAAATCAGATTCAGAGTCATGTTGCTTGATTCCATCACCACCGCAAGAAGCCAACGTCTGCGACATGTTCTCGCCATATTGCTCACGCCGAAAACAGCCATCACACCGGTCACTCCGCTACGATGCACAATAGACCAACCACAACCCTCCAATCTCAGATTTGTGCCGCTCTCCACGATGCAACCCTCCATCGACCACCACAGCGGAACAACGTCTCCACCAGCGACCAACCGCGCCCAGCCACAGTTCCGATCTGAACAAAGTCTTAGCGATACGACCATGCCCCACTTCGAAGCCCCAATGGCGAACCACCTCCGCCGTTCAGATTCACTGCCCAGATCTACCGCGGCTCATGAAGTCGTCGACATCCGCGAGATCTCAGTCCAACAGATCCACGCATAAGAAGAAAGATGGAAAAGATTTGTTGTTGCTTGCGAGAAAGAGAAGAAAGATACGATGGTTAGAAGATTAAATCTAAGGAAAGTCAAATGCTTGGTCTTTGTTTCTCGTTACTGGATGTTAGAATAAAATATGTCATCTCAAACACTTGGTTTTTATTATTTTTTTACTTTTATTTGTTATTAGTAATGGTTTAGAGTTAGGGTTAAATATAATTGATGTTAGTTTTAGAGTTAGGATTTCTTTTAAGTTGGACTTTTTTGAGCTCATGTCTCTAATTTTTTATTTATCCTTACCCTCTTTGTAATTTGGGTCTGAATTCAATATCTGAGTTCAAGACCCTTATTTCCTACGCACCTAACTTTCTACTACATCCTTAATGTGATTATTTAGATTAGTCTTTCAGGTAGTTACATTAATTAATTATTTAGGTTTGATATTAGGTCATGACATTTTATTAAATTTAGTTTATTAATTTAACTTTGTAATTAATTTAATTATATTATTTAACCACATTAGAAATAAGTCATACATAAATCATTTTTTTATAATCAAATTAATTGATTTAATATTTTACAAAGATATTAAAAATCACACACCAACGAGTAACATGTGGCTAATATCTCGCCACGTGATGAAGAAGAATTTATCAGGTTCTCCCCGCTTTGTATCCTATCATACTATTTATCGACCAACCAAAACATAAAAACAGCTAACCACCATCAAATCAATTTATTTACTAACATAATCAAAAATCCAAGATATTTTCGAAAAAATGATTAAATAGAATTACTTTCAAAATTATATTGGGAACTGCATCTATGATCACTCTTTTAAAAAATTCAGACAAGGTTCAAGGATAAATTCGAAATCAATTCTACTTCATCCTATAAAAAACACCAACAAACACTATGAACTACGAATTGAGACTCTGATTCTCCATAAGAGGATACATATGCATACGACCAAAATCGTGGCGAGTTTCCATAATAAAAAACTATAACCTTATTTCTTAAATATTGTGTTTCTAAACCCTAGTATCCTTGTGAACAAGGTAGATGAGAGATGTCTAACACCTCCCCTTCATTTAAGAACGAGTCAACAACTTAGAATCGCTGACCACATTAAGGTTACCCTTTATATTCTCTTCCTTAGGATAAAAATTAAAGGTGGCGAACCTCATTTTAAAACCAGTTACAACATCCATCATCAACAACAATGTTGTTATAAGTTCATAGTTGCTATGGTTCAACAACTTCACTAGCTCATAGCTCGTGGTGATGAAGATGATAGAGGGTAAATATTTTGATGGTTTTGTTTCTCATTAAGTTTCACATTGAACTTTTTACCAAAATAAGTGTTTATAAAGCTTATTTATACATTGTTAGTTGTCAATTATATATTGAACTGATAGTTAAATAAAATGAGCTTAGGCTCATAATCATGGTCTGAACCATTATAACTAATTCCAAAAGGTAAAAACCCCTAAAGGTTAATAACTAATTCCAAAAGGTAAAAACCCCTCAAGGTTAACTGATATATCAAACAAGACAAATTGATTAACATAAAATTTATTATTTTAAAATCTTTTATATATCAAACAAGACAAATTGGTGGACGTAAAATTTATTATTTTAATATATCACACATACAAATATTTAATAATACAACTAATTAATAAAAGAATTTGCAACAGAGAAAAGCTATAAAACTTGTGGTTTATTATTGAATAAATTAACATCTATAATTCAACTCTATTTATTATAAATATTACTTTTGGCCCCCTATTACAAAATCCAATTTTTTGATCCCTTATTTTTACTTTCATTGAGATTTGTGTGATCCCATTGCAGTTTTGCATATGTGACATGGATGACTGGAATAAATAAATTATTTTTAATTGCATGGGATTGATTACAAGCATATATGCAAAATTATTGAATGCAGGTTTGCCTATGGATGGGTTGAGAGAGTGGTACACAGTTCAGAATTTGCTAAGATTTTAGGTGATATGTATCCAACATTATAAATTTCATAATTACAATAGTGTTTCACCTTGTAACTCATAGTGTTGCACTTTATTTTAAGTTCATCACCAAAAACAACATTGTTGTAAGTTCATAGTTACTAGGGTTCAACAGCTTCACTAGCTAATAGTTCATGGTGATGAAGATGACAGAGGTTAAATGTTTTGATGGTTTTGTTTCTCATTAAGTTTCACATTGAATTTTTTACCAAAATAAAAATGTTTATAAAGCTTATTTATATATTGTTAGATGTCAATTATATACCTGTAGTGAAATAAAATAAGCTTAGGCTCAAAATCACCATTTGAACCATTAAAAGTAATTCCAAAAGTTAATAACACCTAACGGTGAACTGATATATCAAACAAGAAAAATTGGTCAACATAAAATTCATTGTTTTAAAATCTTTGATATATCAAACAAGACAAATTGGTGAACATAAAATTTATTGTTTAATATATCACACACATAAATATTTAACAATACAATTAATTAATAAAATTCACAATAGAGAAAAGCTATAAAGCTTGTGGTTTATTATTGAATAAATTAGCATCTGTAATTCCATTCTATTTGTTCTAAATATTACTTTTGGCACCCTATTACAAAACTCAACTTTTTGGTCCCTTATTTTTACTTTCATTGAGATTTGTGTGACCCCTTGCAATTTTGCATATGTGGCATGGATGACTAGGATAAACAAATTATTTTAAATTACATGGAATTGATTACTAGGATATACCCAGAATTGTTGAATGTAGGTTTGCCTATGGATAGATTGAGAGAGTTGTACAATATTCAGAAGTTGCTAAAATTTTAGGTGATATGTATCCAACATTATAAACTTCATAGTTACAATCGTTTTGCACCTTGTAACTCATAGCGTTGTACTTTGTTTTAAGTCCATCATCAACAACAACGTTGTTGTAAGTTTATAGTTATTATGGTTCAAACTCTTCACTAGCTCATAGCTCATGGTGATGAAGATGACAAATGGTAATATTTTGATGGTTTTGTTTCTCATTAAGTTTCACATTGAATTTTTAACCAAAATTAAAATTGTTTATAAAGCTTATGTATACATTGTTAGTTGTCAATTGTATATTGGACTGATAGTGAAATAAAATGAGCTTAGGCTCAGAATCATCATATGAACCATTAAAATTAATTCCAAAAGTTAAAAACCCCTAAAAGTTAACTTATATATCAAACAAGACAAATTAGTTAGCATAAAATTTATTGTTTTAAAATCTTTGATATATCAAACAATACAAATTGGTGAACATAAAATTAATCATTTTAATAAAGCACACACACAAATATTTAACAATGCAACTAATTAATAAAAGAATTTATAATAGAGAAAAGGTATAAAACTTGTGGTTTATTATTGAATAAATAAACATCTATAATTCCACTCTATTTGTTCTAAATATTACTTTTGTCCCATATTACAAAATCCAACTTTTTGGTCCCTATTTTTACTTTTATTGAGAATTGTGTGACCCCCCTTGCAGATTTGCATATGTGATATGAATGATTGGGATAAACAGATTATTTTTAATTACATGGGATTGATTACTAGGATATACGCAGAATTGTTGAATGCAGATTTGCCTGTGGATTGGTTGAGAGAGTGATACACTGTTCAGAACATGCTAAGATTTTAGGTGATATGTATCCAACATTACAAATTTCATAATTACAATGGTGTTGCACATTGTAACTCATAGTGTTGTGCTTTATTTTAAGTCCATCATCAATAATAACGTTGTTGTAAGTTCATAGTTACTATGATTCAACAGCTTCACTAGCTCATAGCTCATGGTGATGAAGATCACAGAGGATAAATGTTTTGATGAGTTTATTTTTCATTAAGTTTCACATTGAATTTTTAACCAAAATTAAAAGTATTTATAAAGCTTATTTATACATTGTTAGTTGTCAATTGTATACTGGACTGATAGTGAAATAAAATGAGCTTAGGCTCATAATCATCATTTGAACCTGTCGTACCCCAAATTGGTCCTACATCGATGATTTTTATTTTTTAAGATTTAAATAGAAGAAATATTTAATAAAAATGGTACAACAGTGTTGTACCCCAATTTTTGCCTATAAGATTCCTCTATCATATCATGTCAACTTGATCATAACAAAATCACATTAGGGTTGGTTCTTCCTTTTTTTTCTATCTCCTATCTTTAAGTTTGCTCTTGAGGAATCTCCAAGCACCTTAGTTGTGTATTTTGTATATGCGTTGATAATTAACCTCTAACCAAAATACAAAAAATATTTATCTTTGTCTTTGCAAAATTGTATTTTGTAGGTACCGAGTCAAAGCATCCGACAAATAAGGTTTTCCGGTATTATTTCTCTAAAATCTCTATTTGTAAAAAAATAAAAAAACATTAAAAAAAATAAAAAAAAATAAAAAAAAAATAATTAAAATTTTTCATTTTTATTTTCCTGTACAATCGATTGCACAGTGTATTGTGCACAATCTTTGAGAAAAGTGTATTTTTAGCCTTCAAAAATAAATTATTTTTTTTAGTATGTATAGACACATACATGTTATGTGTCGACCCATGCAAGACAACAAATTATGTAATGTGTTGAAAAGGCAGCTTGTATCGATCCATAGAGGCTTGTGTCAACTCATCCTGTTTTATATAACTGGCATGTGTCGACACATACATATTATGTGTCGACTCATGCAAAGTGATTGATTATGTATTGTGTTGAGATAACAGCTTGTATCGATCCATAGAAGCTTGCGTCGACTCATGCTGTGTTATACAACTAGAATGTGTTGATGCATACGACTCTTGTGTCGACTCATAGCAGCAAAACAC